GACACATGAGGCCAGAGAACACAGGGACACTCAGACACATGGGGCCAGAGAACACTAAGACACAGACAGACGCATGAGGCCAGAGAACACTAGGACACACAGACAGACACATGGGGCCAGAGAACACTAGGACACACAGACACATGGGGCCAGAGAACACTAGGACACACAGACAGACACATGAGGCCAAAGAACACTAGGAGACACAGACACATGGGGCCAGAGAACACTAAAACACACAGACACATGGGACCAGAGAACACTAGGACACACAGACACATGGGGCCAGAGAACACTAGGACACACAGACAGACACATGGGGCCAGAGAACACTAGGACACACAGACACATGGGGCCAGAGAACACTAGGACACACAGACAGACACATGGGGCCAGAGAACACTAGGACACACAGACACATGGGGCCAGAGAACACTAGGACACACAGACACATGGGGCCAGAGAACACTAGGAGACACAGACAAATGGGACCAGAGAACACTAAGAGACACAGACAGACACATGGGGCCAGTAAACACTAGGACACACAGACACATGGGACCAGAGAACACTAGGACACACAGACACATGGGGCTAGAGAACACTAGGACATAAAGACACATGGGGCCAGGGAACACTAGGACACACAGACACATGGGGCCAGAGAACACTAGGACACACAGACACATGAGGCCAGAGAACACAGGGACACACAGACACATGGGGCCAGAGAACACTAAGACACACAGACAGACGCATGGGGCCAGAGAACACTAGGACACACAGACAGAGACATGGGGCCAGAGAACACTAGGACACACAGACACATGGGGCCAGAGAACACTAGGACACACAGACAGACACATGGGGCCAGAGAACTCTAGGACACACATACACATGGGGCCAGAGAACACTAGGACACACAGACACATGGGGCCAGAGAACACTAGGACACACAGACAGTCACATGGGGCCAGAGAACACTAGGACACACAGACACATGGGGCCAGAGAACACTAGGACACACAGACACATGGGACCAGAGAACACTAGGACACACAGACACATGGGGCCAGAGAACACTAGGACACACAGACAGACACATGGGGCCAGTAAACACTAGGACACACAGACACATGGGACCAGAGAACACTAGGACACACAGACACATGGGGCTAGAGAACACTAGGACATAAAGACACATGGGGCCAGGGAACACTAGGACACACAGACACATGGGGCCAGAGAACACTAGGACACACAGACACATGGGGCCAGAGAACACTAGGACATACGGACACATGAGGCCAGAGAACACTAGGACACACAGACACATGGGGGCCAGAGAACACTAGGACACACAGACAGACACATGGGGCCAGAGAATACTAGGACACACAGACACATGGGACCAGAGAACACTAGGACACACAGACAGACACATGGGGTCAGAGAACACTAGGACACACAGACACATGGGGCCAGAGAACACTAGGACACACAGACAGACACATGGGGCCAGAGAACACTAGGACACACAGACACATGGGGCCAGAGAACACTAGGACACACAGACACATGGGGCCAGAGAACACTAGGACACACAGACACATGGGGCCAGAGAACACTAGGAGACACAGACACATGGGGCCAGAGAACACTAGGACACACAGACACATGGGACCAGAGAACACTAGGACACACAGACACATGGGGCCAGAGAACACTAGGACACACAGACAGACACATGGGGCCAGGGAACACTAGGACACACAGACACATGGGGCCAGAGAACACTAGGACACACAGACAGACACATGGGGCCAGAGAGCACTAGGACACACAGACACATGGGGCCAGAGAACACTAGGACACACAGACACATGGGACCAGAGAACACTAGGACACACAGACACATGAGGCCAGAGAACACTAGGACACACAGACACATGGGGCCAGAGAACACTAGGACACACAGACACATGGGGCCAGAGAACACTAGGACACACAGACACATGGGGCCAGAGAACACCTATAAATCACAGAACACGAATACCATCATCCTCGTGGATAAAATGGATTTTATATTTAAAAAAATATACTTTTACAAGTGTCCGCCCCCCCCCCCCCGCCCCCTTAACGAGAAATTTAGTCCATTCCCCTCCCCCTCCCCCCCTCCCCCGACAATATCCAGAGTTGCCCCCCCCCCCCCCCCCGGAGAAAAAAGTGAAAGAAACACTGCTGCTATCATTTTTTTTTAGTAACGAATATCTTTTCAACTAATACGCCCCCTATTATTGGTTCTTTGTTTGACTCGTTAGCAAATCTGTTAATTAGAAACCACTTTTGATGAGCTATTTGGCAAGGCGTTAATGGATAACAAAGCATGAGTGTAGTTAGGAGCGGCTGCGACTTGGCGCATCGATCCCGTGCATTATTGAAGCCTCGCTTTATGTGCGGCCAGATGAACGTTGTTGGCTTACACCTCAACACGAGGCCGACTGGCCCAACCGGCACTTGCCGTCATAAATCATGCACGTCATCTAAAAGAAGGTAGCACTACAGATGACATGCGACTTTCTGCCCTCTCAAGTTGAAATGGCTTGGATCTATTTTTATCTATCACTGGTGTGTTGAAGTATACAACAAAGTAACAAGCGGTGACGTCAGCATTTCATGTAAACATTGTTTGGGTGTTCGGGGTGTTTTACGACGAACAAAGAATGATTACAATTTAAAATTTAAAATACATCAGCATTTGCTACAAAAGAAAGTTTTATTTTTGTCGCAGAAATTGACATGAATGCTGCACCTTGATAAGGTCCAAACGTTTGCATCAATAATGGAGTGTTGACGCCAGAGCATCCTGCAACTATCTGATCATCAATTTTGTTAAGTGCATTTCATCGGGCAAAACAAAATGTGTCCAGCATTTCTACATCTCTAAATCTATTTTATACCCAGTGGTATAAGGTCGTGCTATTGGATCTTTCAAGTTTCATCAAATTACTAGCCACGGGTTTGTAGCTGTGGTTACCACCTCTCCTGCATACCCTATCTGATGTACATCTCATGTACATCAGATGTACATCATATCAAATGTACGCTCGCCCATGTACTGCACAACTTGGTTACACAGCATGTACATTAAATACATCATATTGCATGTACAGCACGTTTCATCTAAGCTACATCACATGTACACCACTTTTTCTATACACCAGCCTCTCAATTACACAACGTCTCATATACATAATATCTTGTGTACACCTCACTACGCCTCATGTACACCACCCCTCATATATGCCACGTCTCATCTAAGTACAGCCTCACAAGAACTACTGGACAATACAGTCACACAAGAACTACTGGACAGTACGGTCAGACAAGAACTACTGGACAGTACAGTCAGACAAGAACTACTGGACAGTACAGTCACACAAGAACTACTGGACAGTACGGTCAGACAAGAACTACTGGACAGTACAGTCACACAAGAACTACTGGACAGTACAGTCACACAAGAACTACTGGACAGTACAGTCACAAATACTGGACAGTACAGTCACACAAGAACTACTGGACAGTACAGTCACACAAGAACTACTGGACAGTACAGTCACAAATACTGGACACAGAAGCTTATACAGACAGTGGGGGTTAGTATGGGGAGCGGCTGTTCCCCTAATGGTCCGATTAGCCCCCCAAAAAAAACAATCATGTATATATATATATATATATATATATATATATATATATATATATATATATATAATATGTATTTATATATTATATATGTATATATAATATGTCTATGTCTATAGATGTAGATGTGGATGTGGATGTGGATGTGGATGTGGATGTGGATGTGGATGTGGATTTGGATGTAGATTGTAGATGTCGATGTCGATGTCGATGTCGATGTCGATGTCGATGTCGATGTCGATGTAGATGTAGATGTAGATGTAGATGTAGATGTAGATGTAGATGTAGATGTAGATGTAGATGTAGATGTAGATGTAGATGTAGATGTAGATGTAGATGTAGATGTAGATGTAGATGTAGATGTAGATGTAGATGTAGATGTAGATGTAGATGTAGATGTAGATGTAGATGTAGATGTAGATGTAGATGTAGATGTCGATGTCGATGTCGATGTCGATGTCGATGTCGATGTAGATGTAGATGTAGATGTAGATGTAGATGTAGATGTAGATGTAGATGTAGATGTAGATGTAGATGTAGATGTAGATGTAGATGTAGATGTAGATGTAGATGTAGATGTAGATGTAGATGTAGATGTAGATGTAGATGTAGATGTAGATGTAGATGTAGATGTAGATGTAGATGTAGATGTAGATGTAGATGTAGATGTAGATGTAGATGTAGATGTAGATGTAGATGTAGATGTAGATGTAGATGTAGATGTAGATGTAGATTTAGATTTAGATTTAGATTTAGATTTAGATTTAGATTTAGATTTAGATTTAGATTTAGATTTAGATTTAGATTTAGATTTAGATTTAGATTTAGATTTAGATTTAGATTTAGATTTAGATTTAGATTTAGATTTAGATTTAGATTTAGATTTAGATTTAGATTTAGATTTAGATATGTTAATATTTATGTACATACACCTAGTTACTGCTCCACAATTGGCTTGTCCAACAAACATTTTAACAATATTTTATAGATAGACTTGTTGAACAATATTTTATAGATAGACTTGGTGAACAATACGGTGGTTTGTCTGCTCAACTTAATGATCGTGTTCATTCCATGTATTTTAACAATATTCAGTTTATTACTTAATTTAAAAACAAAATAACAAGTGTGAAGGAAGAGCAAATAAATAGGAAATAAAGATAAGAACTCTCTACAGCCCAATTGGGCGGTTTGGTCCCAATCGATTTTTGCGTGGGTTGTGTGGGAAGCGGAGCTGTAATGAAGATAGGAGCAGTGCTATGAAGATGACAGAGGCCACACAGCCGTGTGCTTGACACGCCAGCAACCACAAGAACTGTGCTCGGGCTCAGGACACTTGCCTACAGGGTCCTGGCTGGACAGCAGTTAACTATCCAACCATCCCGAATGGACAGCAGTTAACTATCCAACCATCCCGAATGGACAGCAGTGAACTATTCAAGCATGCAGTTTCAGAAGGAAACATGCTGTCTGATTTAAAAGTTGAAACTAGATTCTAAATTCTCAGCTTGTTACAGTAGTGGGAAGGAGTTGAACTCACACTCATGATGCATCTGTGCTTGCTCTGGTTGTTGGCCACTTTACAGACTACATCGTCTGTCGACAGGTTAGTGGGTAAGTACAGCGACGGTTTATTTAATAAAAGGTCTCTCGGCCATTGATTCTTTCAGTCATTTACCGTATTTTGTTGCCTTTAATCAAGGGATGTCATTTGTATAATTACATTTTAATAACATTTTTATTTTAAGTTTTAATTATTGTGTCACAATCGATAAAGATAAATTTCATGTTCAATTAATATTGCTGGAAAATGCTTAAATTTTAAAACAATTATTTTGGGCTTTCTAGGTCTAGCTCAGTATATAGAAATTTGCGGTTTTTACAATGTGTTCATACGAGTGTTCACATGTCCGTGTGTTTACATGTCCGTGTGTTCACAAGTCCGTGTTCACGTGTCCGTGTGTTCACATGTCCGTGTGTTCACATGTCCGTGTGTTCACATGTCCGTGTGTTCACATGTCCGTGTGTTCACATGTCCGTGTGTTCACATGTCCGTGTGTTCACATGTCCGTGTGTTCACATGTCCGTGTGTTCACATGTCCGTGTGTTCACATGTCCGTGTGTTCACATGTCCGTGTGTTCTCATGTCCGTGTGTTCACATGTCCGTGTGTTCACATGTCCGTGTGTTCACATGTCCGTGTGTTCACATGTCCGTGTGATCACATGTCCGTGTGTTCACATCATGTCCGTGTGTTCACATGTCCGTGTGTTCACATGTCCGTGTGTTCACATGTCCGTGTGTTCACATGTCCGTGTGTTCACATGTCCGTGTGTTCACATGTCCGTGTGTTCACATGTCCGTGTGTTCACATGTCCGTGTGTTCACATGTCCGTGTGTTCACATCATGTCAATGTGTTCACATGTCCGTGTGTTCACATGTCCGTGTGTTCACATGTCCGTGTGTTCACATGTCCGTGTGTTCACATGTCCGTGTGTTCACATGTCCGTGTGTTCACATGTCCGTGTGTTCACATGTCCGTGTGTTCACATGTCCGTGTGTTCACATGTCCGTGTGTTCACATGTCCGTGTGTTCACATGTCCGTGTGTTCACATGTCCGTGTGTTCACATCATGTCCGTGTGTTCACATCATGTCAATGTGTTCACATGTCCGTGTGTTCACATCATGTCCGTGTGTTCACATGTCCGTGTGTTCACATCATGTCCGTGTGTTCACATCATGTCAATGTGTTCACATGTCCGTGTGTTCACATCATGTCCGTGTGTTCACATCATGTCCGTGTGTTCACATGTCCGTGTGTTCACATCATGTCCGTGTGTTCACATCATGTCAATGTGTTCACATGTCCGTGTGTTCACATCATGTCCGTGTGTTCACATCATGTCCGTGTGTTCACATCATGTCAATGTGTTCACATGTCCGTGTGTTCACATCATGTCCGTGTGTTCACATCATGTCCGTGTGTTCACATCATGTCCGTGTGTTCACATCATGTCCGTGTGTTCACATCATGTCCGTGTGATCACATGTCCGTGTGTTCACATCATGTCCGTGTGTTCACATTATGTCCGTGTGTTCACATTATGTCCGTGTGTTCACATCATGTCCGTGTGTTGACTTATCATACCTGCTATCATACATCTCATTGTTTACAAATACTTTGATTTCATATAATGCGGTAGATTGTAAATAAAATATGATAAGTACGCTTGCATGTGCTATCGTTTTATAATAAAACACAGATGCCGTTTTCGCTATACAAATGTTGCCCTAATTACTGAATAAACTTACCAGCAATGGAATAGAGAAGCTAAAATGTGTAGTGTGTGCGCGCCGTGCTAAACTGTTTTCAGCAACGAGTCTATGAAAGTATTGGTACTAGATACTTACTTAGATACCTACCATTAGTTGCAAAAAGCTGTTAGCTTGTTGGGATGTGGCTCCTTGATTTATTGTAAAAACAAAAAGTTGTTAGCTTGTTGGGATGTGGCTCCTTGATTTGTTGTAAAAGCAAAAAGTTGTTAGCTTGTTGAGATGTGGCTCCTTGATTAGTTGCAAAAACAAAAAGTTGTTAGCTTGTTGAGATGTGGCTCATTGATTTGTTGCAAAAACAAAAAGTTGTTAGCTTGTTGAGATGTGGCTCCTTGATTAGTTGCAAAAACAAAAAGTTGTTAGCTTGTTGAGATGGGGCTCCTTGGTTAGTTGCAAAAAGCTGTTAGCTAGTTGGGATGGGGCTCCTTGGTTAGTTGCAAAAACAAAAAGCCGTTAGCTTGTTGAGATGTGGCTACTTGATTTGTTGCAAAAAGTTGTTAGCTTGTTGAGATGTGGCTCATAGATTTATTTCAAAAAGTTGTTAGCTTGTTGAGATGGCTCTTTGATTAGTTGCAAAAACAAAAAGCCGTTAGCTTGTTGAGATGTGGCTACTTGATTAGTTGCAAAAAGTTATTAGCTTGTTTAGATGTGGCTCATAGATTTATTGCAAAAAGTTGTTAGCTTGTTGAGATGGCTCTTTGATTAGTTGCAAAAACAAAAAGCCGTTAGCTTGTTAAGATGTGGCTACTTGATTTGTTGCAAAAAGTTATTAGCTTGTTGAGATGTGGCTCCATGAGTTGTTGTAAAAACCAAAAGTTGTTAGCTTGTTGAGATGTGGCTCCTTGATTAGTTGCAAAATGTTGTTAGCTTGTTGAGATGTGGCTCCTTGATTTGTTGTAAAAACAAAATGTTGTTAGCTTGTTGAGATGTGGCTCCTTGATTTGTTGCAAAAACAAAAAGTTGTTAGCTTGTTGAGATGTGGCTCCTTGATTTGTTGTAAAAACAAAATGTTGTTAGCTTGTTGAGATGTGGCTCCTTGATTTGTTGTAAAAACAAAAAGTTGTTAGCTTGTTGAGATGTGGCTCTTTGGTTTATTGCAAAAAGTTGTTAGCTTGTTTAGATGTGGCTCCTTGATTTGTTGCAAGACGCTTCTTCCACTCTACCATCAGCATTTGTCTGTTATCCCCCTCTCCTTCCCCTCCCCCTTCCTCATACACACATCTCAATCGTGGCTACGCTACTGATAAATTGCTTTGTTTTTTTAAGTGAGCAGCGTAAAAGTAATGCTTTTTTCAATGAATCTTTTTACTTTCTCATATATTAGAAGTATAGAGAAAGTCTTGTAATCGTGCATAAAAAAAGCGAGATTTTTACAAATCTCGATGTTTTACACCTCACAGATACGGAAAAACATAATTTTGCAATCGTGTCCGTATGTCTGTGTGTGTGTCTGTCTGTCTGTCTGTGTGCGTAAACACGATAACTTGAGTACCGTTACAACTAGGTTGATGTTTCATATATAGGTATTTTATCAAAATCGTAAATCCTGGTCAACTTTTGAGTGATTTCCGATAACCGGAAGTGGTACTTTTTCTACTTTGAATTTTTCAAAAGCCTATAACTTGAGTACTATTTCAGATAGATAAATGAAATTTCACATGTAAGTAAAAGATCTATATCTCTACCTTCTGTCAAATTTTGAGTAATTTTCGTTGACCGGAAGTACTAATTTACGCTATTTTCCGATTTCTCAAAAAACGCATGTAAATTTTTAAAGTACTAATAATATTGCGCACTATTATGAACATCTTTATTTGACGTTCGCTTGGTGCGCAATTCTTTTTTCGACTAGATTTTATTCTATTTTTAAAAGTTTAAGTATACTAAAATCATGTCTATATTCCGAGTTGCCATCCCACGTAGTGTTATATTAGAATATTCGAGAAAGTTTAGGGGAGATCACTCCCGGTTTATTAAAATAAAAAAATGTTTTTTATCTTTTAAAAATGGTAATGCCTAGTTGTAACTTGGTATATTAACTGCGAAATAGTGCAAAATAAAAAATATTTTTATTAAAAGCTTTTATTTAACTCACTTCCTCGTCAGTCTGTCTGTCTAGACGGAAACGCAGGAGTGAAAATTCGGACAGTTCTACTTGACCGATACGATTCACAGTTGGCACGTGGGTCAAGACATGAAGACAATGCAATCTGAAACTAAATTTGACTTAATTGGATGCCTAATTAATTTTTTATGAATTAATAAAAATTTGGACCGAATTAGTAGGCATGTCTAGCCAACCACACCACACGCGTCATCACCTTCAATAGCTGCGCCATCACGTAATGGCTGCGTTCAAAAACCATTGCGCGCCTACTGAACGTGATGTTCAGTAGGCGCGCAATGGTTTTTAGTCATGTAACTCTATTGTAAATAAAACATGTAAAGTACTGAAAAATAAACCGGGAGTGTTCTCCCCTAAACTTTCTCGAATATTCTTATATAAAATAACAAGGGATGGGAACTCGGGCTATAGACATGATTTTTAATCCATTTTAAATACTTAAAGTTTTAAAAATAGAATAAAATCTCGTAGACAAATTAATTGCACACCAAGTGAACGCGAATAAAAAAGCGCATAATAGTGCGCAATATTATTAGTACTTTTAAAATTTACATTAGTTTTTTGAGAAATCGGAAGTAGCGTAAATAAGTACTTCCGGTCAACGAAAAATTCTCAAAATTTGACAGTAGGTAGAGAATTAGATCTTTTACTTACATATCAAATTTCATTTATCTATCTGAAATAGTACTCAAGTTATAGGCTTTTGAAAAATTCAAAGTAGAAAAAGTACCACTTCCGGTTATCCGAAATCGCTCAAAAGTTGATAGGGATCTACGATTTTGATAAAATACTTGTATATGAAATTTCATCAACCTAGCTGTAACGGTACTCAAGTTATCGTGTTTACACACGGACACACACACACACACACACACACACAGACACACAGACATACGGACAAGATTGCAAAATTATGTTTTTCCGTATCAGTGAGATGTAAAACGTCGAGATTTGCAAAAATCTCGATTTTTTTTTTTGCACGATTACAAGACTTTCTCTATACTTCGTATATACGAGAAAGTAAAAATTCATAAAAAACGTTTTAATAACAAGCTTTTATGTAATGATGCACTAAAAAGTAGAAAATAAATTATAGACTACTATTTAAATAACTATAAAGAAAAGCGTGGGTCACTTTAGTATCTATTGGATAC